GGAGAGAAGGAGAGAGATGGAGGGGGTGGAGGGAGGGGGAGAGAAGGAGAGAGATAGAGGGGTTGGGGGAGAGAGAGATAGGGTGGGGAGAGAAGGAGAGAGATAGAGGAGTGGGGGGAGAGAGAGGAAGAGGGGGGATAGAAGGAGAGAGATGAGGGGTTGGGAAGGAGGGAGAGAGGAGGAGGGAGGAGAAATTGAGGTGTGGGAGGGACAGAGAGTAGGAGGGGGGAAAGAAGGAGAGAGATGGAGGGGTGGGGGAGAGGAGGGAAGAGGGGAGAGAAAGCAGACACGGAGGGGGAGAGGTCACAGGTGCAGAATGGGAGACAGCCCCCGGTCCTTGCCCACATTAGTAGGTGCTTCCTCAACCCCCACCCCAGGACCCTTCCCACAGTTCCTCCCAGAACAGCCTCAGGACCTGCAGGCAGCACCCCCCCACCTCCTCCTGCCCCACCCTCTTGCTCTCCTCCATCCTATGCCACCCCCTACACACACACACACACACACACACACACACACTTCTCGCCTCTGATCTCCCACCGTTTTCCCTGTCTGAGGACCCCCCCACAATGTCCCTCCATCGCCTCATGGCCCCTCACTCCTGTCCTCTCGGTTCCAGGTGCCCCACTGAGCGTCCCTGAGCGCGCACCATGGAGAAGTATCTGTCCAAACCCGACAACGCCACGCTTCAGATGCTGCGCAACCCGACGCTGACCGTGGTCCTGCCGGTGGTGTATACGCTGGTGGCGCTGGTCAGCATCCCGGGAAACCTGTTCTCGCTGTGGGTACTTTGCCGTCACATCGGTCCGCGCTCTCCGTCCATCATATTCATGATTAACCTCAGTCTCACCGACTTGGCGCTGGCCTTGGTACTGCCCTTCCAGATCGCCTACCATTACAACCATCACCACTGGGTCTTCGGCGTCCCGCTCTGCAACGTGGTCACCGTGACCTTCTACGCTAACATGTATTCCAGCATACTCACCATGACGTGCATCAGTGTCGAACGTTTCCTGGGCGTTGTGTACCCGATGTCCGCCAGCCGTTGGCGCCGCCGACGCTACGCAGTGGCCGCGTGCACCGGACTCTGGCTACTGCTGTTGGCTGCGCTGTCCCCTCTGGCGCGCACCGACCTCACCTACAAAGTGGAGGCGCTGGGCATCGTCACGTGCTTCGACGTCCTCAAGTGGACTATGCTGCCCAACATGGCCACCTGGGCGGTTTTCCTCTTCACGCTCTTCATCGTCCTGTTCCTGATTCCTTTCGTGATCACTGTGGCCTGCTACACGGCCACCATCCGAAAACTCTTGCAGTCGTCACACGGTTACGGGCACGGGCAGAAGCGACGCTCCGTGTGCCTGGCAGGGGTGGTACTTCTCGCCTTTGTTACCTGCTTCGCGCCCAATAACTTTGTGCTGTTGGTGCACATGGTGAGCCGACTCTTCTTCGGCCACAGTTTCTACCACGTCTACAAACTCACGCTCTGTCTCAGTTGCCTGAATAACTGCTTGGATCCTTTCGTGTATTACTTCGCTTCCAAAGAATTCCAGCTAAAGCTGCGCGGGTACTTGTGCCACCAGCGTTCTCGCGTGGACAGTCTGTTCACCACGCGCACCATGTCCGCACGCTCCGGCTCCAGCTTACAAGCCGACTGCCCTGAGCCTGCGAACCGGGCTTTTCTGCAAAGGCAGGAGAGCGTGTTCTAAGCCCCCCACTCCCCACCCTCGGGGCAGGGAGCGACTACACGGCGGGGAACCCGTGGCGAAGGGCCTCCGAGGTCAGCGGACGCCGGCAGAAGGGCCACGTACCGACGACGAGGTTTCCAATGTCCATAGATGAGAGAGATCACAGTTCACCAAAATATAGCCAAGTGGGGGAACGGCGCCTTCTGGGTTCTGGGGGACCTGGGCTTTGCAGTCCCGAGGGTCTATGCTCAGGAGGGTCCCGAAGTTTGCTTTCCCACGCGGATGATGCTAATGCTCAGCGGAGTACCGACTAACCAATACGCACAGGTCTGCCAGGGTTGGATGCTGTTTCCTTGCTATTTTGTGGTGAGCAATTTCGTCTTAGTTTCGCCACATCTTGGACGTGATGGGGACATCTGACATCTTGCACTGCAGTTGTTAGGAAGACAAAACTCGATCGTCCGCACGGTCCATACATCAGCGTGCCACGACGGTGTGCTGGTCCAAGACTGCAAGGGAGTTCTCTGCATCCAGAGTCAGACGCCACACAGGAGACTTGTGTTGGTCCCTCTGCGTCAAGGGGTCGAGGACTGAACTGAGGTCCTGAGAGTGGACAGGTCAGTCCATTCCCGCAAGGACTGGGCATCCTGGTCTCCTCCACCATCCCCACTCTCCTTGAAGGCCAGCACGGAGAGCAGACCCCAGCTGGTCCGAGTGCCTATACGCCTGCGAAGGTGAACGCGGACACTGTAGGCGTGCCTCAGAGTGTTTGGAGCCTCCATACCGCAAGCGCAGTGCCCACAGGCCTCGGAAGATAAATCCTAGTCTGTAAGGTCCGGGGCTGAGGATTCACTAGGATCCCACCACTCAGACATCCCCGCCAGCCAACAGCTACGCCACAAAAGAAACCTTGAGGGCCTGCATTCCCGCACCAGCGCCCACACCGGCTTTCACGATGCATCCCCCAAAGCTGGGATGTGATATAGCACAGAAAACTTTTGGGACTTTATGAGTCCCCATGGGATGGTGGTTTAGGATTGCGGTGTATCTTGGGGAAAAGTGCCCGCAAGGCCAGTTCAAGGAGAGGACCGGTGAGCGAAGGGCTCCCGGAATTCAGGCAGGACCATTCCAGGGGTTCAGCTCTGCACCCCGACTTTGACAGACTGATGGAAATATGGAAGGTGTGCCTCTTATGGCAAAGCCCACCTTATCACGGAGTGGTGCTTTTATAAGCTAAGCAGACATATTTATAAAGGGGTACATAGAGCACCCCAGTTTCATATCCATCTGGGCCCCATGAATATGACCTTTTTTGGGAGAAGGGGTCTTTGAGGATGTTACTAAAGGCGTTCCATCAAGCTGAGCGCAGCAATGGGAGAGGTTGGAGAAGGTAGGGGTAGTGAGTTCCTGTTTACCTGCAGGTGAAAATGTTTACTCACATTGAAGGTCCTTATCAGCATCCCTGCATTTTACCAGGGGGCTTCAAAAAGTTTGTGGAGAAATGCAATGAAAATGTAAGGGGATTTTTCCAAGAAATTTTTGAAGGACTTTTGTATATATTGAAACAGTTAACTTGTGTATGTTTGGCTGTATAAGTTTTTGACAATGACCAATAAAATGTTATTAAAAGAAGAAGGAAAATACGGGAAGAAAAAAAGTGAAGGACTTTCGCTTAAGATCATTGTGGCATATCCAAATCTAACCTCATGGCTGTGGAGTAGATTCTGATTCACAGCCACGGGACACAGCAGGGTAGAACTACTGTTTCGGCATCTGTAAATCTTCATGCAAACAAGATGCCACACCACTCCCTGTGGATCAGCTAGTGGATTTGAACTGCCAAACTTTGAGTGTTTTAACCACTCTGTTCCCTTTGCATTATCCAAGTAGGCCTATATTCCAGGGACAAGTGTCCTTATAAGAGATGGAATAGGAGGTGATGGGAAAAATCATCTACTGAGAACCCTGTGGGGCACAGTTCTACTCTGACACACACGGGACACCATGAGTGGAATCTACTTATGAAACATCATCCACTGAAAACCCTGTGAGCACAGTTCTACTCTGACACACACACGGGGCACCATGAGTGGGATCTACTTATGAAAAATCATCCACTGAGAACCCTGTGGAGCACAGTTCTACTCTGACACACACGGGGGCACCATGAATGGGATCTACTTATGAAAAATCATCCACTGAGAACCCTGAGAACACAGTTCTACTCTGACACACACGGGG